ATATATATATATATATATATACTATATATATATCATATATATATATATTATATATACATATCACTGATATCTGTAAGAGGAGTAATATATTCTTGGGAGTACTGAGAAAGGGCTTTTCATACAATGCTTCTTTATTTACTAATATATACATTAGATACACGATAAATAATTATTCACATATGAATGTCCGTGCAGCAAGGCAGCGAAATTGAACCATTCCAGAATCGGGTTTCCTGCTGTCAGCCGTCTAGGGAGCCCCGTATCTGCTGGAAGGCTGGCTCGCCCCCCTCAGCTCTCCGCGTGCGCGGGCGGCGTCCTCCTCTGCGGCGAAGGCGATCTGGTCCAGGACGAACTGAGGGATCGGGTGGGGGAACTCAGGAGCCACGGGCAGGAGGTCGGACTGGGGCTGGAAGCCTCTCTCGTCAGCCACGAACTCAACGTGGACGGGAGTGCCATCAGGAGCAGTGTACCTGTAGATCACAAGTGGACAATTTAGATTTGAATATATTCACCTGAGCCGTTGTTGAATTAAACAATAATCAAGAATCAATGAAACTTACGAGAAGGATCCAGCGCTGTTGATAGCACCGTCCTCGCCCACAGGAGAGCCAGACTCCGACACCGAGATGCCGTTGGCAGTCTCGAAGTCGAAGTTGTACTTTCCTTCGTCGTCGATCAACCGGTCGTCCCTCAGGATGGCCACATTCTCACCGGAGTCCAAGGCGCGAACTTGTGGCCGCGGAGCGTCATACAACGTAGCGGCGGAGGCGGCGGTGGCCAGGAGGGCAAGGACTACCTGTTGAAATATATACAAAGTATACATTTTTTTTATTCCATATCTATCATTTCACTTTACCGGCAAACGCTCATATTCATCGAGAAATGAAACAAGCGACGTCTTACGAATTTCATTGTTGTGAGTCTCAGCAGAACTGGAGCTAACCTCGCAAACTTGTGCTTATATAGTTCACCGAGACCTTGTTTAGCAAGTTGCCAGTTCAGTTGCAGAAAATTATCCTCACAGCATTCCGTGACCTCGAAGTTTCTCTCGATAAGATTTGTCTATTTAAGTGAGTCACAGGAAACGCATAAATAGGGGACAGAGTGAAACGCTTATGGTGCAGCGTGCCAGAGAACGAAATATTATGCAGTATTGTGCGTGTTCTCTAAGTGTACACATTTATAAACGTGTGTGCGTAGTACATAAATATACTATATATATACACATGCATAGATGTTATATCTATACATGGGTATGTGCAAACATATGTCTGTATATATACATATAGATGCATAGATATGTTATATCTACGTTATGTCTATATGTCTATATATATATATGTATGTCTATATATATGTATGTCTATGTCTATATATGTATGTCTATGTCTATATATGTATGTCTATGTCTATATATGTATGTCTATGTCTATATATGTATGTCTATGTCTATATCTGTATGTCTATGTCTATCTATGTATGTCTATGTCTATATATGTATGTCTATGTCCTATAGATGTATGTCTATGTCTATTATATGTTATGTTCTCAGTGTCTATATTATGTATGTCTATGTCTATATTAATGTATGTCTATGGTCTATATAGTATGTCTATGTCTATATCTCTGGTATGTCTATGTCTATATATGTATGTCTATGTCATATATATGTATGTCTATGTCTATATATGTATGTCTATGTCTATATATATGTATGTCTATGTCTATATATGTATGTCTATGTCTATATATGTATGTCTATGTCTATATATGTATGTCTATGTCTATATATATGTATGTCTATGTCTATATATATGTATGTCTATGTCTATGTCTATATATATGTATGTCTATGTCTATATATATGTATGTCTATGTCTATGTCTATATATATATATATATTATGTATGTATGCATAAACATATATATATATATATATATATATATATATATATATGTATATATATATAGATATATATATATATATGTATGTCTATGTCTATATATGTATGTCTATGTCTATATATGTATGTCTATGTCTATATATATGTATGTCTATGTCTATATATGTATGTCTATGTCTATATATATGTATGTCTATGTCTATATATGTATGTCTATGTCTATATATGTATGTCTATGTCTATATATGTATGTCTATGTCTATATATGTATGTCTATGTCTATATATGTATGTCTATGTCTATATATATATTATGTATGTATGCATAAACATATATATATATATATGTATGTCTATGTCTATATATATATATATTATATATATATATACATATATAGGTAGATAGATAGATATGTGTTTATATATACATGTATATATACATGTATATATATATGTGTGTGTGTATGTGTGTACACACATACACAGGCACACACACACATAGATATGTATATACATGTATTATCTCTCTATATCTACATATATATATGTATGTCTGTGTGTGTGTGTGTGTGTATGTATACACATATATATGTGTGTGTGTGCATGCATGTATATATATGTGTGTATATATATATATATATATATGTATGTATGTATACATACGTATACATATAAATATATATATATATATATATATATATATATATATATATGTATGTATGTATACATACGTATACATATAAATATATATATACATACTTAAATCTCACTAAACTGAACTAATACCAGATATTCAGTGAGGTATGTTTTGAAAAATAGCCATATTGTCACCAAGATTGAAAACATTGATAGTTTCCACCAAATACGAAATAGGCAATTCGTTAGCACTGAGATGACCAACGCTTTCAGAAAATGCATAATAGAATTACGGATTCTCTGAGCGTAGGACTTGAAATGTCAAAGGTCTCAGCTCCGAGAGTGCCGTATCTGTTGACCCCTTAACAAAAGCACAACAAACTGGCCATATCAAGTGTGAAGTCGGTGAGCTCTGAAGGAGATCCAGCTAATGTAAACGGACGTTTTCTAAACCAGATTGAATGCTGATTATATGACTTTGACACAGAGTTAAAGAGGTAATCCATGTACTCCGTCACCCCTTCTATAAAAAGGTCCAAGTTCTCTCGCCTGAATAGAAACTCATGGCCTTTCTGGGATGTACAGAACCGCACTGTGTTTTTGTCTGACTTTCCAACGGGCTAAACCATAAACGGAGACTAATATACCAGCTTGCTAAGATAGATATATATGATTATCAAGACCACACTTCTAGGAAAACTGAGAACAGGTATTTTGTTTCTTCTGGGCAGAGTCACAAGTCGGTTGCTGCCATGGTTTCAAACTTCCCTAATTTGACACCATATGCTTTCCAAACATATAAAAGAGAGGGTCATTATCAGAGTAACAATGAGGCCATAGCAGCTTTTGAGGCTATAAGGATGAATGTAAGCTTATACATTAAGGGTACTCCAACGAACAAGCGCCATTTGGAGTATCTTGTGGAACCTAAAGGACTATATTGACATATACTGTTGCATTCGTGGTCTTATCCCAGAAAAAAAACATCGTGTTTAGTTCACAGTTGGTCTTCGTATGTGTCTGTATTTGCTTGTCGGTTACCAAGTGTGCGTATGTTAATCGGAGCAGCGTCTACCATACAAAAAAATCACATAGCTATGATCATCATTAGACGAATTCAACAGGATGATCTGTCATGGTATCCCACACAAATATTTGCATGAAATCAAAGGAAAGGTCCCCAGTTCCGACTAGTCGTATCTTCAAAATCAAAATCAAGATTGAAGTCAATGTCGTGACGTATCAGATCTATAGATATAAGCATTTATAGGCGGGAAGGAAGTAGCACTATTAGGAGGCTTCCGAGCTTCGATATAACAATGCCATTTGCAATTAAATTGGAATATGCCTTCGCTTGTCCATAATCACGTGACAGACACACTCATACTCACGGGCGCACCTGTATATGTGTAGAGATAGATAGATAGATAGTGAGAAACAGTGGCGTGGTGGCTCCTATTTGGCTGGGGGGGCACTAGTCTTTTTGGGCGCCCCTTTGAGAACTGCGCCCTCGGTACAAATGTATTTGTACCATTTGGACTTTTGGGCGCCCCTTTGAGAACTGCGCCCTCGGTACAAATGTATTTGTACCATTTGGACTGTAGGCGCCTTTTCGGAGCGCTGTAGATTTTTTGTATTTATTTGCTTTCAGTGAGCTTCTGGCGCCTCTTGGAGAGTTGAGACACCTTCGGCGCCCCCTGCTTTTTCTTTCCCCCCCCCCCGGCCACCACGCCACTGGTGAGAAAGAGTGGGGTTGGAAAAGTGTGTGAGAAATGTCATTCCGTATGAAACAACGATGATGATTGTAACTGTATTAATAATATTAATAACAATGAAAATATATATAGTGACAACACTAACGGTTTAAGTTATTAATGTTTTGAATAATAAAAACAATGAAGAAAATAATATTTACGAAATAGCAATAATAATGACGATGATGCTAAGTATATGGTGATAGCGATTACGATAATATATTTATGATGATGATAGCGTTGATGATAAAATAAAATGATAATGACTACAAAGGTATATGATATTCATAGCAACAAGAATTTTCATGATACCGTCTAGAAACAATGATAATGATAAATGAGAATAAAATAATAAGAATAAGAAGAAAAATTGATAAGCATAATCATCATCATTATCATAATGATAATAACAATGATAACAATGATTATAATAATAATAAGTCGATGAAAAAAGGAGAAAATGTGAATAAAAATTATGATAATAATAACAATAGTTATAATGATAATAATAATAATGATGTTATAATAATAATGATAATGTTATGATAATGATAATACTAATAGTTATAATCATAATAACAAATGATAACAAGTAGAGATTATCATCCACGACATTTAGTGTTAGCAACAATAATGAGTCATTATCATCATCATTATTGCCACTATTATTCGTATAATGATCAGGTAGTTACAAAACTACAGTAATGTAATTACAGTACGAGAATATAACACAACTTTATTCATTATAGCTTTATTCTGTTGTACATTAAAGATTATTTATCATAAGAAGAGTCAATACACATGCAGTATCGCATTATGAAAACCCTTAAACATGAAAATCCGAAATATCTTTAGCATATCTGCTTTCTAGGGAGCTCCATATCTGTTGGATGGACGGATGGCGCCCCCTGAGGTCACCGCGGGCGGCGTTCTCCTCAGCGGCGAAGGCGATCTGGTCGGGATCGGGTCGGGTCACCCAGGAGCCACGGGCAGGAGGTCGGGCTGAGGCTGATAGACGGTCTCGTCGGCCACGAGAGTGCCGTCAGGAGCGGTATGTCTATGAAGGAGAAAGGTAAATTAGAATGATGGGATTTATCAAAGCTGTAGTACGTTTGAAGAAACCATATATACGTTTTGTGATATCTATGCACTTGAACACACATGGACAGTTCATGTATATGTCTGTGTATATGTTTGTGTGTGTGTGTGTGTGTATAGGTATGTTATGCATGTATATGTATAGACTATTGCATTCAGTAATGGTTTGTACTATATATTCAAATTTGTAAGTACATTATTCACAAAATGATATGTGGCACTTTACAATAAAGAGCTATTGAAAAATGTTTTAACAGTACTTACGGCACTGTTGATGGCACCCTCGAGACCATCAGGGGGGCCCGACACAGACAAGACGACGCCCTTGACTGTTCTCGTCGTTTAAGTTCTACATCCCGCCGTCCTCATTACGCAGCCGCCCCTGAGGATGGCCATCACCTCGAGGAAAGCAAAGCGAACCTGTGAGCTCTCATAAACTTAGCCGGCGGTGGCCACGGCGGCCAAGAGAGCGAGGACTACCTGCAGCTGAAATTGGACAATCATATCAGTTCGGTGCTGTGTGTGCTTCGTAACGTAGTAGACGTAGCTCATATGACGCAACCGTGATTTTCCAGATTGAATATATTTACTTACATCATATTTGCTTGATTCTCTCGAAACTGCTAGCAATTGCTACGGAGCGTGATCTTATATACCCGTTGAAATTGTTACCAAAGTTGCCAAGTCTGGTTTATATGCGAATTCATATTCCCCGTTGGCCTTCCACCGGGTCTGCTTCACAGTACGTAATCTGACAACATTCAATAACATGAAGCTTATTTACTAGCATACTCACCCATGTATACGATTTGTATATATATGTTTACGTTAAAACATGGGATCGTGTATGTTAGTGTCAATGTGTGTGGCTTTCGCGTGTGTTAGTATGAGTTTGTGTGGGAAAGCGTGTACATGTGTGTGAGTGTGTGTGTGTGTGTGTGTGTGTGTGTGTGTGTGAGGTTTTGAAGATAAATCAGAGTCCATTCCATAACCGAATCAAGTTACGGAAAAATGACAAAGAAAATACTGTAAATATCTGCATATCATACACATAACATTCCATACCGAAAGTGAATGATCATCTTCATTCAGTTTATGTAGACGATTATAATGAAATATATATGTGTGTGTGTGAGTGTGCATGTGTATGTATATCCACTAGTTTAGAGTATAATTTCTGATCTAGAGTTCTGGAGTTCGAAGCCCTCTGAAGCCACGACTGATTATGACCCTGACTATTCATATCATGATGGGAATAGTTATCTGGCAGCCCATTGTAATTGTTGGTCGCGGTTATATTCACTCGACACTTGTTCACTTTGTTATCACTATTATTTAGTGGTGTTAGTAGTAGTTGTATCATTATTGTTATGCATATAAATGTGTACATACATAGATATATATATAAATACATATATATACATGTATACTTATATATGCATATATACTTATATATATTTATATATGTATGTGTGTGTGTGTGTTTCGGTATATATATGTACGCACACACACACACACACACGCACACGCACACGCACACGCACACACACACACACACACACACACACACACACACACACACACACACACACACACACACATATATATATATATACATATATATTTATATATATATATATTATATATATAAATATATATATATATATATATTCATATGTGTATATATATATATATATATATATATATATATATATATATATATATACATATATGTATGCACATATGGGAATCCAACTCAGACATGTCAATGCTGTTTCATATCTCCCAGCCTGAAATCGTAGCTTCCATTATCTCCAGTAACGCGTTCATCCTCGAGAATGGCAGCTTCGAGGAAACAAGTGACAGCTTAGGACTGGGAATCACCACTCTAGAGGCTGTCTGTGGCTGTCTTTAAGGAAGTTCGAAAGCCACGTTAGTCAAGTGCCATAAGAACTTCATAGTATGGTATATGTGCTTCAGATAATGTAGCCGGTATATTTGCATATGGCTGTACCAATTGTGAGTGAATTTTATATTTAGTATATGTTTCTGAAACTAATCTACTAGTACTGTTCGAAAACATTCAATAATTCAAAATCTACTTTGCTTACACTATCATGCATACATGTCTGTGTGTGTGAGTGAATTGTGATATGTATTTATACAAAGAAAATTCACACATAAAAGTGTCTAATACTAAAAATATTCCCTAAGATATCACATTATATGTATATTACATTACAATATCGCCAAGTCAGCTAGTAAGTTCATCATGTTAAAGTGCTAATGGAGGACACAGAAGGTCGGCAGCCATGATAATAATTAATCCCTAAGGTAGATACGTATCCATTATAAATCTATTATCCTGTATAAATAGTATCCACTATAAAAAGTATCCACTATAAATCTATTATCCTGCGTTCAATTTCAACTATAAGACTATAACTATAAATATATATATATATATATATATATATATATATATATATATATATATATATATATATATATATATATATATATATATATATATATATATATATATACACATATATATGTGTGTGTGTGTATATATATACATATATGCGTGTGTGTGTGTGTGTGTGTAAAAAATTGTCTTATTTTGATGCTATAGATGCTATGAGTCATGGTATATAATTGTCTTGTATATATGCATATATGTTTCTGTGTGTATGAAATTCTTGTCTTATTTTCGGCTCTATAGATACATGATATATACGTCTTGTATATATGTATGGATGTATGCATGTGTGTATACACATATATATGTAAATATATATATATATATATATATATATATATATATATATATATATATATATATATTTATACATATATATATGTGTGTGTGTGTGTATACATGTATATTTACATAAATTCATTTTCGTATGTATAGATACTATGATTCATGGAATATGGGTAATGAATATGTATACGTGTGTGTGCGTGTATATGTATGTATATATATGTATGTATTACACACACATGTGTGATTGTGGCTGGCATCACATGTATATCCATATAGCTATCACTTATACAAGTGATGGTTCGTTCTCTCTCGGTTATTTTTTCTTCTTCCAAAATGTGTTGAACATTTTTCCTGGTTAAGTGCAGAACTAAGCTGTATATCGATATGTGGACGGATTGCTAATATGTGAGGCCAAACATATTCACGAATGATTTATTACATTTTTTATTTTGCTCTTACAAAAAAATACTTATCAATATGCCTCGTGCACTTTACAAATATGTTTAAATATAGATATATAGTTCATTTCTGTGTCCCTATATCATAAATTAGGACATCTAAGGAGCTCCATATCTGCTAGAGGGTTGGCTGGCGCCCCTGAGCTCACCGCGGGCGCGAGCGGCGTCCTCCTCAGCGGCGAAGGCGATCTGGTCGAGGACGAACTGAGGGATCGGGTGGGGGAACTCGGGGGCCACGGGCAGGAGGTCGGACTGGGGCTGGAAGCCGTTCTCGTCAGCCACGTACTTGACGACAACTGGGGTGCCGTCAGGAGCGGTGTATCTGCGAAAAAAAGATAAATCATTTGCCTATCCATTATTTCCTTTCTTTTGTATCAAATGTTATGTTAAACTATGGAATTCAGTTCTGTGATCATTCTAATACATTAGTTCAATTTACAGAAATATGTCACCATAACTTACGAGTAGGAACCGGCACTGACGATGGCACCCTCCAGACCGGGAGAGCCAGACTCAGACATGACGATGCCGTTGGCAGCCTCCATGTCGAAGTTGTACCTTCCGTCGTCCTCGATCACGCGGTCGTCCCTCAGGATGGCAACCGCCTCGCCGGAGTCGAAGCGAGCCTGGGCACCATCATAAACTGGGACGGCGGTGGCCACGGCGGCCAGGAGAGCGAGGACTACCTGTTGAGAAACATATTTGATGATAGAAAGTGATGATAGCCAATAGCAATAAGTCTCCCTCTCCCTCCCTCTCTCTCTCTCTCTCTCTCTCTCTCTCTCTCTCTCTCTCTCTCTCTCTCTCTTACTTTTTCTTATTCAGTCAATCTTGTCATTTAAACACAACAGAAGTAGGGTTACTGATTCTCTACAAATACGTACAAACTTCATGGTTTCTTTGGATCGGTAAAACTGATGACGGCACATTGCAAGG